TCTAAGAGCTCATCTACTCCTGCTGCTTATTCAGCATCTGAAGTCACAATTTTCTTTGAGTCATCGCAATAATTTCCACAGCAACCAGTTGTGAACTTACAGACAGAGAAGTTTGACTTCAGTTGAGGAAAAAAATAGCAGTGATTCTAGCTCCTCTGAGGCAAAACTGCTATTAGAATGCAGAGGTCCTTGTGACTAAGAAAGGGAAAAGAGCACAGAACATGTGATGTGCAAGTGTAAGCAGATTTTTTTTTTACAGCTAAGTATATTAGCTTTCCCAACTTCATCATGAGGATGGGCAAATAAGTTTTATGCATGAGCTAGTAAACTATCAAAAACAGAGGTATATCTGCCTGATTATATGCATGTGCCACTTCCACTGGAGGCAATAGCAACTGCATCTGTATATATGAGGGAAGAATTCTGTCCCTAAGGCATAAATGAAGATAATAGCTTCCTTTGCAAAGTAAATATCAGATAAAATTATCCACAGTCCACTTTCCACAAAGTTATAATTCACACAAATGTGTGAGCTTTATGGTGACCCTATTCCACTGTGAAGAGCATGGGATAAAAATGCAGGTAAATAGTGGTCCGTTTTACAACTATGACTTCAGTGGGCTTTAATTCAGGCCCCAAATATCATGAATATTTTCAGACCAGTTTTTCATTTAGTTACCATGGCAGTCAAATGACTTCCAAGTCAATGTAAGTTCACAAGGTATGAGTAAACTGCTAATTCACTGCAACAAGCACTGTTGAAACAAAAACCCACCCTGTGTCATTATTCCTGGCATATTAGGAAAGATAATTTTTCCACAGATGTTCCAGAAGTGTCCAACGTTTGTTTTTCTTTTTTGTCTCTCTACACTTTTTTTTTTCTTTCATACAGCTTTACATTTTTTTCTTTCTCTTCCCAATCCCCAAAGGTACTATATTTGCTTTCTGTTTTATATAAACTCTGCAAGGAAAGTCATAGCTTCTGCATTGTCTCTGTTCACAGTGGTGCCAGTAGAAGATATTGAGACACCCACAACCATAGACATGGAGGGATGGAAGGAACTTCATGAGGTCATTTAGTCCAACCCCTTGCACTGAGGCAAAATTAAGTACACTCTAGATGACTAACCCTAACCCAAAGTGGGTCGTGAGCCCATTTTAATGGGGTCGCCAGGGCTGGCTTAGACTTGCTGGGTTCTGGGGCCAAAGCCCAAGCCCTACCACCCAGGGGTCAAGCCGCACCACCCAGGGCCAAAGCCAAAGCCCAAGGGCATCAGCCCTGGATGGTGGGGCTCAGGTGCCTGGGGCTGAAGCCCTTTGGCTTCGGTTTTGGCCCTGGAGCAGTGAGGCTTGGGCTTGGGCTTTGGCCCCCCCACCTGGGATGGTAGGGCTCTGGCAGACTTGGTCTCCCTTCCTGGGGTCGTGTAGTAATTTTTGCAGTCAGAAGGGAGTCATGGTGCAATGAAGTTTTAGAACCCCTGCTCTAGACCATCATAGACACGTAGCCCAAAGATGAATATTATTTGAAGATCTGAGTCAAGACCATTCAGCCATTTCTTAATTTAATATGTACATTTTTCCACTGGAAAATAGTTTCTTACAAATAACTCAAAGCAACTGAACTTTAAAACTTTTCACTTGTCTGCAATAAGGATTAGTCACTGCATATGTCGGATAAATAATAAGACCAGACATTATTATTAATTATATTAAAAATATTTGGGGAATGGCAAACGTATTAGGAAACATTGCTACATTTTACTTTGTGAAACGCTTTATGGCACCATGGTGTTAGACAGTTCTGCTACCCCAGAGTGTTGCTGCTATGAGTCTAAGCACAGAAGAGGAATCCCTTCCATATAATTTTTCTCAATCCACACTGCAGCCTCCTCTTCCCAGTGGGCAAGTGGTTGCTCAACTTGCTTAATTCCTGGAGTCATCTTTGGAGACAGCTTAAAATGTAACCGTGCTGCAATTTGCCAAAAATGCAGCCACCCCCCTTCTCTAATCAAACCTAGTGTTTAGGGATATTGCGGGGGGGAGAAATAAATTCAAAATTCTTCATACTTTTTTAATATTCTGAGCAACACACACATAAAGTTGTTTAATTGTCTTGGAATCAAAGGTATGTATGCCATGGTTTTCTGAACATTTTTATTTTATTATTTGTTCTTCATTTGACTTTGATGTAGGTGACCATGAAATTCCAGACAAGGCAAAAATCTGCAAAAAATAACTGAGCAGACGCCAAAATGGGTTGTAAAATCATAAACGTATGAAAGAATGGCTTGTAGGGGAAGAAAAACAAAATAAAATATGCATGGTACTGTTTCCACTTTTTGACTCAAGCTCTATAATAAAAAGGCCTGTGAATTCTAGATCTCTTAATTTAAGTGTAAATTCTTGATGCTGATATGAGGTATTGTACCCCAAGTGAGTGTATAATATAGATTACAAAGATTGTGCATCAGAAAGTTTTGCAAATAATTTGGCTTATGTACTATTACAAAATGTAAAAAGATAAACGTATTTTTGAAAGAAATATCTTCTGAAGAAATATTTTCTTTTTCTTGAGCCAGTTTGATACAGTATTTGTCAGCAAAAAAAAAATCATATGCATAATATTGTCAATTTCGTTGTCCAGCTTTCAAAATTCTTCATACTTTTTGTACAGGTGGTACATATGAAATTATTGGGCAGGTTACAGGGCTCTAATATGTCTGGTTGCATTTCTAGAATTAAATTAGGTTTGTTATGTTGGGGCTTTTTTGCCTATTTATGGCCCCATGACAGATTTCTATCAATCCCTACAAATCCTCTTTAAAGTATATCTTTTATTTCAGATTGACACAATCCCTCACTAAATCTCCAGTGGAGTTATTCACTACAGTGTGATAGAAGAACTATAGGATATTGCTATCTAAACAAGGGCCTAATTGTAGCATAAAAGCAGGGAGCTAGAAAAAATTGTGTGTAGTTTTATATACAATATATCATGGTGAAATGACACTTCATTTTTGTGAGTTTAACTTTCCCACAGAGAGAAAACAATGACTAACATTAAGCCATTCCAAACTAATAAAAAATGTGCAAGATCTGACTTGCCTATCTGGAAAACTCTACCACCACTATGGGTCTAATCCTGAAAACATTTAAGTACATGCTTATCTTAATCATGCAAGTAGTTTCACTTAGATCAACAAAACTAAATATGAAGTAAAATGTTTGCAGGACTGGGACCCAGATCATTATTCTACTGTGTGAAACTTTTCATGTAATGACTAATTGCATACAAATACTGATTTTTCTTTTAATAATTATTTACAAGTTTATCAAGGATAAAAACAAATCATTTTCATCAGTGACAGTGACTTATTTCATGGTGAAATTGTTAACTATATGCTCCAAAAATCCCAGTTAAAACATTCATTGGGAGTCTTCTGATCTGACTCTTGCACCTTGAAGGCTGAGTGGGATTAAAGAGGGGAAAGAGAGGTTAGAGAAGGAGAAGCTGGAAGTAGAACTGAGAGAGAGGACATGGGAGAGGAGAAGAAATAGAGGGGGAAGAACTAAAACAAACAATAGGAAGTTCTTCACACAATGCAGTCAACCTGTGGAACTCATTGCCAGGGGATGTTGTGAAGTCCAGAAGTATAACTGGGTTCAAAAAAGAATTAGATAAGTTAATGAAGAATAGCTCCAACAATTGCTATTCATCATGATGGTCAAGAATGCAACCCTATGCTCTGGGTGTCCCTAAACCTCTGACTGCCAAAAGCTGGGACTGGATGACAGCGGATGGATCATTCATTAATTGCCCTGTTCTGTTCATTCCCTCTGAAGCATCTGGCACTGGTCGCTGTCAGAAGACAGGATGCTGGGCTAGATGAACTATTGGTCTGATCCAGTATAGCTGTGCTTATAAGGCTGAAATTTGTAGGGCTCCGGGAGGGGAGGATGAAAGGTCTGTGGGGCAAAGACTGGGGGGTGGCTGTGGAGGGTCTGTATGGGGGGGAAGGGAGAATTAAAAGTCTGCAGAAAGGATTGGGGGTGGCTGTGCAGGGTCTGGGTGGGGGAGAGGGTTTGTGGGCACAGGGAAGGTTGGGGTGGCTGTGTGGGATCTGTAAAGGGGGGATTTGTGGGGCATAGGGAGAGTTGGAGTGGCTGGGTGGGGTCTGGGTGCAGATGGGATTTGTGGTATGTGGAGAGGATGGGGGCTGTGTGGAGTTTGGGCAGGGGAGAGGAGGGGTTTGTGGGATGCGCGGGGAGGGGTTGGCGGTGGCTGTGTGGGATTTGTGAGAGTGCAGTGAAGAAGGGGGCTGTGTGGGGTCTGGGTGGAGGGGGAATTTGTGGGATGCAGAGAGGATGGGGGCTGTATGGGGTCTGAGGGGAGGGGGTATTTGTGGGGCACAGGGAAGGTTGGGGTGGCTGTGTGGGATGCAGAGGCGATGGGGGCTGTGTGGGGTGTGAGCAGGGGAGGTGGTTTGTGGGGCATGGGGGGCAGGGGTTTGGGGGGCACAGGGAGGGTTGGCAGTGGCTGTGTGGGATCTGTGAAGGGGGATATGTGAGAGTGCAGGGAGGAAGGGGGCTGTGTGGGGTCTGGGTGGAGGGGGGATTTGTGGGGCACAGGGAGGGTTGGGGTGGCTGTGTGGGATGCAGAGACGATGGGGGCTGTGTGGGGTGTGGGCAGGGGAGGTGGTTTGTGGGGCCCCGGGGCGGAGGTTTGGGGGTCACAGGGAGGGTTGGCGGTGGCTGTGTGGGATCTGTGAAGGGGGATTTGTGAGGGTGCGGGGAGGAAGGGGGCTGTGTGGGGTCTGGGTGGAGGGGGGATTTGTGGGATGCAGAGACGAAGGGGGCTGTGTGGGGTTTGAGGGGAGGGGGTATTTGTGGGGCACAGAGAGGGTTGGGATGGCTGTGCGGGCTCTGGATAGGGAGGGTTGGGGTGGGGTGCGAGTCTCCATGGTGCGAGGGCCTCCGCCGGCCTGAGCCCAGCTCCGGGGCCCTGGGCCCGTGGTAGCCGCTTCCCCGCCGCTTGGCTGTTGCTATGGAGACTGCGGCGGCCGCCCGGGCCTGTTTGTTGCGCTTTGGTCCCGGCACAAAGAAGGAGCGGGGGAGCCGGCACCTCTCGCAGCCGCGGGGCGGCGGCAGGTAAGAGCTCCCCGGGATGGAATCGGGGGCGGGGACGCTCGGGGGAGAAGGGGACAGGAAGATGCCCTGCGGGGTGAGGGGAGCTGGCTGGAGCCTGCTGGTGGGGAATCTGCCCCACTCCTCCGATGGGGAGCCTGCAGGCCCGTTTGGTGGTTTGCATCCCTGTTGCAGTCACGCCGGTAAGGTGTCCCCCTCCCCTGCCCTCCCCTCCATACTTCTCCCCATCCCCGGATCTTCTACAGGGCGAACAAATTCTCCTGGGGTGCTGTGCTGTCTGCCCCCCTCTCCCCCCCCAACCCCCCCAAAAAGTCAGGCCAACGAAACATCCCAGAGGAATTTGTTTGGCGAGTTCTGCTTCCCAAGGTGATGCTATTGATAGGGCGACATTTGTGACCCTAGGCCAGCGGGGCCGCCCTGCACCGGGTAATTTAAAAGCTGGGAACCCAGAGAGCAAACCAGACCTTATGGGGCAAATCCTGGCCCTGAATTGAAGGGGAGACTTCTTACTGGGTGGGGCTGAGTTCAGGGTCACAGTTTAGCAAATGAAGTATTAAAACCGCAGAGGTAATATTGTCCTGGTGTTGGTCAGCTTAACCTGCCACTGTACAGTATTAGGGGTTTTGTGAATTTAAAAGCCAGTACGGCTTATAACTCTCTGGGCCTGAATCTCTTCTGGTCTCACTTTACACCAGTTTTAAAGCTGTGTACTTCTGCTGACTCCAGTGGAGTTAGTCCTGATTTTTACCAGTGTGAGAGGAGAGTAAGTTCATCTGTGTTTCTGTGCCTGTATTTGGAGTAAGGAAACAAAGTATGAGGCTTTTTTTTAAATGATCTATTAAATCTCATAGCAAAATCCTTCATTACAAGAAACGGAAACTTTCAGATGAATCTATGAGTGTAGCTTGTGGCATTTCTAGGTAAGGGGCACAATATTTGTTATCTTGCCCTTTTCATATTTTTTTTTCCTAAGGAGCAGAAGTTGGAAAAAAATTACACAGTTCAGATACGTAGGCCTCAGTCCTTAAAATATGTACATGCTGAGCTAATTTCCTTTCAATGGGACTACTCACATCAATAAAGTTAAACACATATGTGTTTTGCAGGATCTGGTTTTTGGTTTGTATTGTTATAGCTGCCAGTTAGTATTGCATTACAACTACATACAAGCAACTTTGCAATGGCAATAGCAATGAATAAACAAAAAAAACGAACAAGCAAACAAAATAAGAAATGGGAGATGATGTAATATTGCCACAGACATTTGAGGAAGAGGAAGAGGTACAAGGAAAAGCTTTGCGAATTGAAGCTTTTTTTTTTTCTTTAAATCAAAACACTCAACTTTGAGGATACATAATGTTGTAAACAAATGTCCTAAATGATAAATTGTTTACAATTATAAAAATCCCAGGAATTTATCTATAAATATTTAAAACCTGTTTTAGGCAAACAAAATGATTTAAATTAAATGGGGAAGAGATGGCCAGCCCTCTGTGGAGATAGAGGTGGTTAGGGACTATTTAGAAAAGCTGGACGTGCACAAGTCTATGGGGCTGGACGAGTTGCATCCGAGAGTGCTGAAGGAATTGGCGGCTGTGATTGCAGAGCCATTGGCCTTTATCTTTGAAAACTCGTGGCGAACCGGGGAAGTCCCGGATAACTGGGAAAAGGCTAATGTAGTGCCAATCTTTAAAAAAGGGAAGAAGGAGGATCCTGGGAACTACAGGCCAGTCAGCCTCACTTCAGTCCCTGGAAAAATCATGGAGCAGGTCCTCAAAGAATCAATCCTGAAGCACTTGCATGAGAGGAAAGTGATCAGGAACAGCCAGCATGGATTCACCAAGGGAAGGTCATGCCTGACTAATCTAATCACCTTTTATGATGAGATTACTGGTTCTGTGGATGAAGGGAAAGCAGTGGATGTATTGTTTCTTGACTTTAGCAAAGCTTTTGACACGGTCTCCCACAGTATTCTTGTCAGCAAGTTAAGGAAGTATGGGCTGGAAGAATGCACTATAAGGTGGGTAGAAAGCTGGCTAGATTGTCGGGCTCAACGGGTAGTTATCAATGGCTCCATGTCTAGTTGGCAGCCGGTATCAAGTGGAGTACCCCAAGGGTCGGTCCTGGGGCCGGTTTTGTTCAATATCTTCATAAATGATCTGGAGGATGGTGTGGATTGCACTCTCAGCAAATTTGCGGATGATACTAAACTGGGAGGAGTGGTAGATACGCTGGAGGGGAGGGATAGGATACAGAAGGACCTAGACAAATTGGAGGATTGGGCCAAAAGAAATCTGATGAGGTTCAATAAGGATAAGTGCAGGGTCCTGCACTTAGGACGGAAGAACCCAATGCACAGCTACAGACTAGGGACCGAATGGCTAGGCAGCAGTTCTGCGGAAAAGGACCTAGGGGTGACAGTGGACGAGAAGCTGGATATGAGTCAGCAGTGTGCCCTTGTTGCCAAGAAGGCCAATGGCATTTTGGGATGTATAAGTAGGGGCATAGCGAGCAGATCGAGGGACGTGATCGTTCCCCTCTATTCGACATTGGTGAGGCCTCATCTGGAGTACTGTGTCCAGTTTTGGGCCCCACACTTCAAGAAGGATGTGGATAAATTGGAGAGAGTCCAGCGAAGGGCAACAAAAATGATTAGGGGTCTGGAACACATGAGTTATGAGGAGAGGCTGAGGGAGCTGGGATTGTTTAGCCTGCAGAAGAGAAGAATGAGGGGGGATTTGATAGCTGCTTTCAACTACCTGAAAGGGGGTTCCAAAGAGGATGGCTCTAGACTGTTCTCAATGGTAGCAGATGACAGAACGAGGAGTAATGGTCTCAAGCTGCAGTGGGGGAGGTTTAGATTGGATATTAGGAAAAACTTTTTCACTAAGAGGGTGGTGAAACACTGGAATGCGTTACCTAGGGAGGTGGTAGAATCTCCTTCCTTAGAGGTTTTTAAGGTCAGGCTTGACAAAGCCCTGGCTGGGATGATTTAACTGGGAATTGGTCCTGCTTCGAGCAGGGGGTTGGACTAGATGACCTTCTGGGGTCCCTTCCAACCCTTATATTCTATGATTCTATGATTCTAACCCAATTGAATTGTATAATGTAACTGTGGCTTCAGAAAAAAAAATACAGAAACAATTTTATCACAAAAATTGTGTTAGAATTATTTTATGAGAACACCTTTATTATTATCAACATGTAATGTCAGGCTCTACAAAGGACTGTATATACACAGAGTTAAGTTGTATCCCTTTGTTTGACTTTTAGTATAGGGTCAACCCAGCTCTCATTGTCCTAGGTACTTATTTGGCTGCCATCACCATAGTATATGAGCACTTCCCAGTCATTTAATGCATTATTATCATCCCCACCCTGACACAGACCCTGTGAGGTAGGGAAGTATTATTATCCCTATTTTACAGATGTGGAACTAAGGCACAGACTTAGGAGCAGTTTTTCAAAGGTGCTTACATGTCTAAAGATACAGATAGGCGTTAATGGGATTTTCAAAAGGAGGGACCTAACCTGGCTAGGCACTTTTGAAATTCCCAGTAGGTGTCTATCTGCCTCTTTTGGTGGCTGAACACCTTTGAAAATTTGCCCAAGTGACTTGCCAAGGTCACAGAGGACTTCTGTGACAGACTAGAGAATTGTACCTTAGTCTACTAAGTCTCACGCTAGCATTCTAGTCACTGAATCATGTTTCTCCTATTAAAATAAACAGGTTTGGGTCAGGCCTTGTATATACACAGATGTTTAAAGAAGTTTAAGAGAAATACTTAAGATGTTCCTCCAGTTAGACACAAGATGTTGGAAACAATTTTATATAACGTCACATTGCACTTATATAATACTTTTCATTCACGGACCTCAAAGATCTGTACAAAGATGAGTGAGCATTATTGTTCCCAATTTACAGATGAGGTAATTTAATCAGAAAAGTCCACTGAGTTCTGGGTCTACTTTAAGATGGACTAGAAAGTACTCTGCACCACCTGAAAGAGAAAAATAGGTGCACTTTAGGCATTTAGGGATTTTGAGCACCCTATAATGCTTATGGCTTTGTGATAGTTAGAACTAGTAAGAAAGGGAGAAGTGGGTGTTGGCAGAGGGAGGAAGGAAAGTTGGAGGGGACAGAGGGCACTGGGAAACAGCTACTATATGCTTCCTAATGTCCAAGTACCATCCCTGAAAACACGGTACTGTACTCAGATTTGAAATGTGTTTTGAGAAGGCATTGGAGGAGATGGAGATCAAGTGGCGCATGGGAAATGTGAACCCATTCAAAATATAAGGAAGGGTATGGGAGAAGGATATAAGGGGTGCAGTTATGAGAGTGGCATGAACCCAATGTTTTTTTCCTTTGTTACCTTTAAATGTATGTAAAAATATAGAATAATTTCATTATTTTCTGATCTTCTAAATTATCACATAGCACTAGTGAGGATGTGGGGAATAAGTATCACAAAAAAAGAAACCTGCCTTATGTGTGTTCTTTTTTATTATTATTTTTTTTTGTTCTCAGCTTATTACTTACCTTCAGATGATCAGTTTGCATGTGGGATCAGTATTTTAGGTTTGCTAACAAATGGATGAAAGCTTTTCTGAAGAATCTTGTGGTGGTGGTGATTACTTAGAGAATGACTATCAGAAAAAGAGAAACCTATCTGTTTCCAGTTCATCAAAATATATTAGGAAGGCAGTTGAAGATACACTGTCTACTCCTTCAAATACTCTGGATTTGAGTAGGAAAAAACTTCAGCATCTTACTGAGGAAATATACAAATTACCCAACCTTAAAGTGAGTAAATTGCTGTGAGTAACTCTGTTAATTACACACTTGACTTAAATTTTGTAGGCACCAATTAAGGGCTCAGTACTGCTCTCATTAAAGTACTGGAAAATCTACAGATTCTTAGCTATGATTTTTCCCCCCTGCTTTCTAAAAACTAGTACTAAATTCAATAAATGATTTATTTATGTAATTTATATAACTGATTGTACCAATCATCTCCTTCATGGTTTTATGAGAATGTAATTTTTAGAATAGTTTATAGTTCAGTTTACTGGGATTTTCACAGTAATATTCTTCATGCCAAGGGAACAGGCATTCTACTTTAATTCTGGTTTTAAAACATATTTATTTTTTCTACATTAGCATTTGCATCTGGAAGGAAATGCTTTAGCCATAATTCCTAAGGATTTATTTCAGCAGCTGCCAAATCTTGTTTGGCTGGATCTCCGGCATAACAAAATTAAAACTCTTCCCCCTGGAATTGGATGTCACAAGTAAGGCATTTCTTGTATTGATAATATAACAAAAACTTATTCTTCCTCTATTTGTCTCTAATGTAACTTTCTTATTCTCAGACTCTTGAGCAGGTTAGTTCTATATTGACATCAGAACTGAAGAACAGTAAGCGAGAATTATATTTAATAATGCTCAACTAAATGAGCAAGTACAACTAACTAGTACAGTAGATTAGTGCACAAACCCTTTTACCTGCAGAGGCATATGGCCTGATTCCCCTTTCATTTCAATTTTACACCATTTTAATTCCATCGGTTTACACTGCTGTGAGGAGGAGGAAATTGAGAGATACATCAAGCCCATAGTTTCAAATCCTAACTTGGGTCATGTGAAAATGGATTAGCAACCAAATAAACTAAGTAAATCATGGTGAGACATAAGAGTACTGTGGAGCGGGGACACAAAAATAAACCTGGCAGCTAGATACTGAAATGAATGATGATTACAGTGGCAGGAAGTCATGAGTGCAGTGAGAAGACCATTGTAGTAGTTCCATGTATGAGATAAGTAGTGTAACACCTTGTCACTTGCTGAGGTATTAGTGGTGGAAAAGGCCAAAGACCACAGTTTTGGCAATCTTAAACCAATGAAATTGGCATGAACTAAAAACTAAATTTATCTTTGTATTAAAAGAAATATTGGGCTAAATTTGCTTATTATGGTCAAAAAGGAATCTTAGCTTCCACACTGTAGTTACTGGGGAAGAGGCAACTTCTGAAAATAGTGAGATACTGGAGAATTTTCCAAAGGGAAAATACAGTTTCATGACTTTTTTATTTAAACAAGATGCTCAATGATATTTTAACATAATTTATTCTTTGTGATTTGTATAGCATTATGTCATCAATTTATGATCAAAAAAATGAGTAGATGACTCTGAAAATTGTCAAGTTTTGTACCTTTTTAAAATTATAACTGTTTTTAAAAAAGAAGACAGAATTAATAGTATTTTCTGTCATGTAATTTTGCCATGCATCAGTGTACACATCTCTATTTGAGTCTTGAGATTAGTAAACTCTGTATGTGCATTTATCTTCATATAAGTAATATACAACTCACTAGTGCTAACTTTTTTTGAAAACTCCCAGCATAAAACATTCAGTGATATTACATTAGTAGAGTTTCATTTAATCCTTTAAACAATAATCCCATATTATAGTAGAATTTGTTGTAATTATTGTTGCTGATCGGTGCCAGAGTACACCAAACCCTTAGGGTGTCAGTAGTGTGCCAGATGTACCACGACATGGAGGCAAGCACCGTAGGGGCTTCAGCAGCTAGTCCTGGCAGGTCACAATAACCACTGAGACAAATGGTTAAGGGAAAGGTTATTTTACTGGAAACTTGCAAAGATTCCAATTTCCCATTACATTTTCTCTGTGATTTACAAAGATGGCTTTACAGTTTGTTTTCACAATTTTTGCTGCTTGCTTTTTTCCCCTCCCCTCATTTTTCAAGAATATCAGGCTTTCATTTACTACTTTTGTTGGAGGATTATTTATTGGAGGTTATTTGGATGACATGAATAGTGAAGTCACATGAGACTGTAATCTTATCTGTTGCTCCGTATGCCCCAGTTGAGAGGAGAGTGTATGCTGAGTGGATCCAGTAAGTGAAACTCTGTTTTAGGGAAGAGTAGCTGCAGGAAAGGCCAGTGCAGGAGCAGGAGGAAAGATTTTATCCCTCACTAACACTTTGGGCTTCCCATGCTCGCAGTCTATTTATTCAGAGCTATGTGCAGTAGCTAGTGTTTGAGATTAAGAAATAATACAGCACTCTAGAAAGAATAAATGCAATGAAAAAGCTGCATACTGTAGCTTTTAGATTATCATACTGAATGACTTAAAAAAACTGGTAAAATTTAAAGTAAGTATGACAGTTTCTCATATTACTTTGTATGTTGCACATGTCAGTGAGGCAGATCAATCACTGAAAGATAATGGTTTAGAGGGAGATAATATTGCATGTATGAACAATAAAGTGGAGGATTAAAAATTATGATTTCAATTTATAAATATTAACACCAAGCAGTTCATTTACTACCATTTCACTAAAAATCTGTGTGACCAAAACCAATTTTAGATTTAGTTTTTAGTTTTCACAGTGTAAAACCTAATAAATTCATCAACACTTTAAGGATGTATTCAGCCCTTCCATTGGGTCCAGGATCTTCTCAGCTTGCAAAATCTGGCCTTATGGTGTGAGGGAAGCTCAATTTTTTCATATTCTCTGTGTGTATATAAAGTCTGCTGCAGTTTCCACGGTAAACATCTGATGAAGTGAGCTGTAGCTCACGAAAGCTCTTGCTCAAATAAATTGGTTAGTCTCTAAGGTGCCACAAGTACTCCTTTTCTTTTTGCGAATACAGACTAACACGGCTTTTCCTCTGAAACCTGTCAATTTTTTTTCACCTCACAAGGAGCAGAGAACCTCAGAAATCAATTAAACAAAGTATAAACCAAAAGTGATACTTATTATCCTTGTGACCAAGTGTCACAAAACCAGGCCTTATGGCAGCCCTTTTAATTTCAAAGAGAATTTTGTCTCTAACCTGTTCTATATGATAACATTGAAGAATTTACACACATAAAAAAATTAAGCTTCTAGTTTAAGCTAACAAGCATGGAAGTGCATACCAGAATCAAACAGATGTTACATATGGATGGATTCAGGGTGCACTCTTTCATGTGCCAGCTATGGACTGGTAACAGACCTTCCATCCTAGGGAGATATATAAAGATGTGTTCTCTTTAAGATACTTTAATGCAAGGCGAGGTATAGCTGTTGTTTTCTCAGGTGAGGTATGTTACATGTAGCGCCACTTAATGCTGAATGGTATAATACACTTAGTGGCTGAACAATATAATACAGTTTAGCATTTCATTACACACCCTATTGTCTTTTGTTGTAAGAGGTTTGATTTTTTGTTTTTGTTTAATTGATTTCATTATATTTCCTGGATTAAGTTGTAACATTGACCTTTTAATGCTGTTTTAAGAAATTATTTTTATTTTCAAAAGTGGGAGCATCTTGCATGGTTAAAATGAGACTGAGTCAAATACTGCCAGTGATTCTGGATGCTGAATGACAAGCTTATCGTTTTCCATATTTGATAGGAAATATGGAAAACAACTATATCCATGTAATTGTATTCTGTTCTAATCATTTTAATGGATTCAGACATATTAACAAAGTCTATTTCTGATCCTGAGGCAGGATCCAAAGCATACTGATGCCAATAGGAGTCTTTCCATTGTCTTTAGTGGGTTTTGGATTAGGCCCTGAGTGAATAATCATAGGGAATCATGGATGTGTTAGGAGTACAGAACGTGATTGTCTTTAACTGAATTGAATATTCTGATTCAACAAAATAATATGTAAAAGGGTATGATATGTAAAAGTTTTAATTTAATTTATTTTTCTTTCAAATTAATTGGCTGTGAAAAATGCATATGATAAATTAAAACTTTTTTTAAAGAGATAAACAAAGGTGGTGTTGAAACCACCAAACTTTGTTTTGTCGTATCTTAACAATATAATTTAGTTTTATCATTTCCAGTCATCAAACTTCAAAAGAAATTACTTTCATGCTTCAGAATCTGTTTTTATCAAATTTCTGCTGTCAATTTTGTAATGGAAAACCCATTGAAAATAGAGTACTGATAATCCCTTGTCTATTAGAAAAAAAGTAGTCTAAGAAACTATTAGTTTTGTTTTTATGTAATATCTATGTTAAAAGAATGTTATTAAGGTTACAAACTCAAGCAATCAGAAGTTAGGAAATGCCAGAATTAAGGTTACCTGTACATGTCTGTTTAAATTTTGGCAAAGTTATAACCATTTGAAAACCACATCTTATAATGGAAGTGTCCGAACACCTTAATAGTAGGTGGCGCTACCAATAATAATCAGTTTTTTAAAAAAAAGCAGGAAACATCATAAAATATTGAAATGGTATGCAACAATAGCTTCCATTTGAAAGCAGACTTCAGGCCATCAGACCTTGAACCACTGAGATACACAAGCCATAGTTGATGGTAGCTGTGGAGAAGCAACCCATTTCCTTCAGATATCATTAGTATGGTAGGAAACAAAGGCATATGTTTTTGTGTTTTAACAATGCACTTTAATTTTGCTTTTACAATTGTTACTATTTTTGTTTTATTACAAAGGCAATTGAAAACGTTACTTTTAGAAAAAAATCCTATAAAAAGGCTGCCAGTGGAGCTTGGTAAGTATGTAATTTTTTCCCCCAGAAGTCCTAGCAGACTTAGACTTTTTCCATTTAATGCTCTAGTCAAGATTAAAACTGTATAGCAAAGTATCTAAATATAACCAAAGAAAGCTTCTAGTTTTATAGCGAATATTTGTTGCACAGCAATTTAATGATGACAAACATTTTCAAAAGTGACCTCTAAAATTGTACCCACAAGATTGCATGTGCAAAGATCCTGTACGAACTGAGTAATTATATATCTACCTAACTTGCATCATCAGAAAAAGGGAGGAAGTGACCTGGAATGCTTTTAGAAGAACAGTAGGACTGAAAAATCTTAACAGAATGAGAGAGTTTGAAATTTAAGCAAATGTATTCTTTGAAGGCTACATTTATTACATATGAAATATTTCTGTATATATGGATTCAGTAATTTACCATAGCTTAACATACAGAAACCAAAAACAGTAAACCATGTAAAATATCTATTATATGCATGACAATGTATCGGCTTCCACTGTCTAGTTAGTGTGATTTGTATGAAATAGTATTTCTTTGGTGGGAATATTTTGGCTATGCAGGTAATAGTAAACCCAATATTCATATTGCACCTCAAGTATTCCACTTCCATTAGTACTTGCTTAGCAGCCATGTTGAAATGTCATTTTAAGATATGTTGTCTCTTGAAAATGTTAGTTTAAATGATATTTCTACATCAGCAAATCATCACTTTTGTAGATGACATGCAATTTGTATAACTACTGTATCCAAGAAAGAAGTTCAGGAAATAGTGATCAGTGCAGTGATTAGTGGCTCACTTGTCTACTTCCTCCAACCCTTCTGACCCACCCCAGTACCTGTGGGTAAGATGTACATTTTGAACAGAGTAATTAACCATTGGAACAAAACTGTGGTGGATTTTTTGTCTCTATGATGTGTTGGACCCCGTTTTGGGATGCTGCCTGATGTTCTGGGATTTCACTGAGCCTCTCCTGCTCCACCAGCCTGGGTTCCCACTTTCTGTTTTGCTGAATTAGGCTCTCCGGCCTCTTGCAGCGCGCACGCGCACACGCACACACAGGTGGGGCCACACACACCTGCAGCCATAGACTGCAGGCGCTCTGTGTGAGAGGACTCCCCCAGCACTCACATGCACACCCCTTTTGGGAGATAAACCCAAAATAATACTGTCTTGCACTGTATAGAAAGATCTGCACACCTAGGCTGATTAGGGAAGCAGCTACAGCTGTGGCCAGCTCAATCAGGGCCCAGCTGGCTCTTATAAGAGGGCTGGAGGCCAGGAGCTGAAGGAGTCTTACTCTAGCCCTGGAGTGGGAAAGGCTAGCTGCCTAGGAGCAAGGTACCTGAAGCAGAGCAGTGCTGGGGAAGGGCAAAGGGGAGCTGAGGAGCTCCAGCCTGGTAAATCCTTAGGCTGCAGGCCTTGGTGAAGGCCTACAAAGAGGTATTGGGGCTGCAGAGGTGTAGCCTGGAATAGGCAAAGGCAGCAGGTCCTATCCCCTTGCCAATGATGAGGGGCCATTATAGACTGCAGTCTGCCCCAGTGAGCTGGGGCTAGATGATGACTGGCAGTAGCCACTGAGGCAAGGTGGGTTAGAGGGTTGGAGATTCCCCTGGAGGGGAGACCCATAGTAAGGGGGTACTGCTGGGGGCAGAACCCTGCGGTAAAGGGGCACCGCGGTCCAGGAGAGACAAGGGGGCCAGCAGCAGGCGAAACACCAGCCAGGAGGAGGCTCTCTGTATGCTGGAGAGCTAATTCCCAAGACAACCAGCAGGAGGTGCCATGCTGGTGAGTCTCGACCTCATTACAAACGGGCATACATAGGTTACTGGCCCTGTAAAGTCTACATGATACTAGAAACCGTGCTTTGTTGACAGTAAACCTGGCCATGTGCCTTCGTTACTGAAACTGAGTCTTGGGTCTTTTGGGCAGTTCGATTGAAGCTTGTTGTCCGGGCTATCTGGACAGAGCCAGTGCAGTACACAGAGGGAACACACACACAGCCAACATCTGACGACACCATGGTTTGGACACAGTGGTTTGGCAGGGGCAGCAGAGTGTGAGCGTAAGTTGCTGGCTGACCACTGCCAGGCTGGGGCCTTGCTACAAGAGTTGAGAGGGTGCTAGGTCTACAGGGGAAGTGTCCCAGGGAAAGTAGGCAGCAGGTTGGAGGAGTGCAGTACGTGGCTGCCGGCTATAGGGTCCCTGGGTCAGGACCCAGAGTAGTAGGCAGGCCTGGGTCCCCCTCGCTTGCACCCCACTTGCCAATGAAGAGAGTGGCCAGTATCCAGACTGCAGTTTGTCCTTGCCAGAAGAGGGTGCTGCAGGCCAGGGATCGACGTAGGTCCAAAGAGTGGAGACAGCAGTGAGGGCAGATGTGATAGCACTAGCTGAAGGTGGACTGGAAGGGCCGAGAGCTAATTCCCAGGATGGCCAGCAGGAGGCACCATTGTGGTGAGTCCTGCTTTGTCACAGGGCACATTACAACAATTTGTAACACACCCTGCTGCTTACTAAATCTCCATTGAACTATGACTGCAGAGGTGTTAATTGCCCACTTCATTTTAAGTGGTCTCCTATAACATGTGTGAACCATGCTTAACAATCAGTCCCATCTTGTATTTAGCTTGGACACTCTGGTTACCTTCCCCAGACCTGAAGATGAGCTCGGTGAAGCTTGAAAGCTTGTCCTTTCCATCAGTCAAAGAAAGTCCAATAAAGGATACTACCTCACCCACCTTGTCTCGCTCATATTCTGGGACCAAAACAGCTACAACAACACTGCAGACATATATAAAATGTTTTGTATTATCTAAATCTCAGTATTACTTATCAGTGCAGTATTAAAGGCAGTCAGTATGGTTGCTTAGGGGTTTGGGAATGCTTGTTTGTTAGAGAAACAGAAATGCAGATATTTCAGCTGTTTGGGGTATATTTTTTCACAAAGCCAACAGCACAACACAGTGTTTAGTCTCTGTGCGCTAAATGTTTTATACACTTTTGTTAATTATATCTCACACTTATGACATATCACTGAACATTTGTATTTTAATTTACATTACAGTATACTAATTTGTAGTATCCATTGTAATACTACAATACTAAAGACTTGCGTTTTATTAGGTGGCAGGCAACTCTAGTATAAAAATATAGTTTTTGATAAACCTGTGTATTATAAAATTCTAATTTCCTACTAGTACTGAATATTATGATGTCTTTGACAACTACAAATATTTTATGATGGAAATATTCCTTGACAAATATGAATATGGATTGATTCTGCCTCGATAATGTTGTCTATCTTATACATTGATGACAACAGACAGCAGATACCATCTGGTGAAAACTGTACTTGGGGATAGTGCATTAAATCTTCTTTGTTTTGTTTTTCCTGCTGCTAAATGGGTATCACTAGTCATTTTATACAGTCTGTTTCAAGCTAGAATGGACAGAATACTTATTTAACTGTAGATTTAGGCTGATGTAAACAGTATGTCTTCTCAATCATTAGAATGCAGCAGGTAAATAAGGATACAGTGAACAACTAAGTTTTGGATGATATTTACGTATCAGCAGGAGACAATTTCTCTTACTTTAAAAATGTGTCAAAAAAGCTAGTGTTGGGAATCATTAGGAAATGGATAGATAAGACAGAAAATATCATTGCCTCTATATAAATTCATGGTATGCCCACACCTTGAATACTGTGTGTGGTTCTAGTTACCCCATCTCTTAAAAAGATATTAGAATTGGAAAAGGCACAAAGAAGGACAACAAAAATGATTAGGGGATATGGAACAGCTTCCTATGAGGAGAGATTAAAAAGATTGGGACTGTTCAGTTTAGAAAAGAGATAATGAAGGGGGGATATGATGGAGGTTTATAAAATCATGAATGGTGTGGAGAAAGTGAATAAGGAAGTGTTATTTACCCCTTCACATAACACAATAACCAGGGATTACCCAATGAAATTAATAGATTTAAAACAAACATAAGGAAGTACTTCACACAACACACAGTTAACCTGTGGAACTAATTGCCAGGTGGTGCTGTGAAGGCTAAAAGTACAACTGGGTTAAAAAAAGAAAGGTCCATCAATGACTATTAGTCAAGATGGTCAGGGAGGCACCCCCATGCTCTGGGTGTCCATTAACCTCTGACTGCCAGTAGCTGGGACTGGACGATAGGGTAATTATCAAGTGATCCATCCCATTTTGTTCATCCCCTCAAAAGCAGGATACTGGGCTAGACCGACCATTGATCTGATCAGTAGGACCATTCTTATGCTCTTATTATCCTCTAGATGCTTACAAATTGACTGATTAATAATTTGTTCCAGTATCATTCCAGGTATCAAAGTTAGGCAGACTGGTCTGTAATTCTCTGAATCCTCTTTGTTCCCCTTTTTAAAGACAGGCATTATGTTTGCCCTTTTCCAGTCCTCTGTGACCTTACCTGTCCTCCACAAGTTCTGAAAGATAATTCTAACAGTTCTGAGATTGCTTCAGCTAGTTCCTTAAGTTCCCTAGGATAAATTTTGTCAACCCCTGCTAACTGCAAGATATCTAATTTATCTAAATATTCTTTTACCTGCTCTTTCCCTATTTTAGCTTGCATTTCTTTCCCCTTATTGTTTAATATTATTTGTTTTGAGTATTTGGTCACCATTAACCTTTTTAGTGAAGACTGAAGCAAAATGAGCATTAAACACTGCTGCCTTCTTGATGTCAGTTATTAGCTCGCGTTCTCCGCTAAGTAAAAGATATATACTTTCCTGCATCTTTCTCCTGTTCCCAATGTATTTAAAGAACCTCTTTTTATTGCCTTTTATGTTCCTTGCTAGGTGTAACTCTTTTGGTGCCTTAAATTCTGATTTTGTCCCTATATGCTTGTGCAATTCTTTTGTACTCCTCTTTAGCAATTTGTCCATGTTTCCAAATTTTGTAGGATTCCTTTAATGACTGAAAAATCAAAAAGAGCTCCTAATACAGCCATA